CAAACCTGAGGCAGACAAGAATATATGCAATGGAAGAAGTCTATAGACAGCACATGATAGTACATTTATATCTGACAAATGCACAAGTCTTGGTACCTGTTGTCTTCCAGTGAGGCGCTGTATGCCTTTAGCAGAGCTGTGTTGCAGTTCTTCAACACCATCTGTTCATAAAGTGTAAAGCTTAGATGATTTATCATTTGCATTCTGATCAAATAACAGCACAATCATTCTATCTGTAGTTGTAGGATGATTTCAAACAAATTTCACAGACCCTTATCCGTGGCACCAGGTCCAATGTGTGTTTCAGTTGAATGACGTGAGTAATTTTTGCTTCAGCAACCTGAACCTGTAGAAATACAGTAACAGTAGTGAAAAGCACATGAAAAAACAGACCAATATCTCACATGTACTAGTAAGTTAAGCATTTTAAAACACACACACACGCATTCACTTCATGACAAGACATTCCATTGCAACGAGATCATCATAAACAGTCATGAGAACTGTAAGTACTGTACGTACTGTTTCCTGCTTTGGGATTTGAACGAGAACAGAGAGCAGCTGGTCAATGTCGAGGAAATGACCTATGGCTAAGGGGTGCAAAAACAAACAGATTTTATAATACTGTAACATGCTCTCATGTTCAGTATGCACAATATTTAATGTGTGATTAAAACTGTTTGTGCTTATTCCTGACCATTTTTCAGGCCAAAGAACAGCTCCTCGTCCTGCAGCAGCTCTTGTATGCTGTCTAAGCGTATGTTGATGGTGTCCACATCAACCAGAGGCTCCAGAATATTCGAGCGCAACCTTCTAGCACCACCAGGTGTTTTGGTGTGGTTAAGCACTCCTAAAAGAGTATGCTCACTCCTACACACAGATATGCAGAGACAGACAGACTGAACACTCACTGTACACAATTATACAAGCACTACACAAAAATATATAACGTTCAGTCTTCTTACCTGTGGTCTCTATTATTGACCACCAACTCCAAGTTAGCGGCAGATGCTGAGTCAATCATCGCTGTCTGTTCGCTCCCTTTAAAGCTCACTTTAAGAGACTTGGCAGCGTAGACGGAGTTCTGGATGAACTCTAAGTATTTCAGCAAAGCTGCTGCTGCTGCCAGGCAGTAATACCTGAACAAGGCATGGCATTTGGTGATTAAAAAAAATAGTGTGACAGTACATCTATTTCTGTATTTTATTGTACTCAGTGGCATACTTAGCTTGCACTTCCATGAGGACAGTGCCAAATTCTGGCGCACACAGCTGCTGAATGTACTCCAGTCCTTTCCTTTCATTAAAATACTTCCTTTGGATAGCAGTAAAAGCTACTCCCTGACAAAGAAGCATAATAACATAGAAATATTACCCCATAGTAACAGTTAAGAACAACATGTCAACAGGTAGGACACACCACACACGGTTCACAGCAGTGCCAACCAAGAGTGAGCTACTTTCGACTTGAAAGTGGGTATTTGTTTGAACTAATTGTGTGTTTTCCTTATAACGCTTATTCTGCACTGGTACCGGGAAGTTCTCTGTGATGAGGTTGAACAGCTTTGTCCCTTTCCCCTTCTCACTGGCTGTGTCTGGCATCAGTATTTCCAGTGGCACCAAGATGTGAATCTTGGTTATGACCTTCAGAAGAGTAAAATATGACTGAGACAGGGGTTCCTTGTATGTGCTGAGTGAAGCCATGATTTACAGACAATCTAGCATTATAGCTTCTGACATGGGTTACCTTGGCATACGTCCCAGTGTCTGCAAACTGAGAGAGTATAAGCTCTGGACATTTCAAGTTGAGACTTGCCATGCCAATCTCTCCCCTGGCCAAACCACGCCCCTCAACCACTGCTACAATCACAGAGGCACCAGAGGTTGTGGCTGCAGAGGAGCAACTTGTTCCTGTAGAAAGACAGTCATCAGAATTAGAAACACCGCTTTAGCCACACTGACATATAAAACATTTAGGGATGAAGTACCGGTGGGATCACTCAATGGTGTGCGTGCTGGGTGTGTGCCAATGACCCCAGCAGACCCTGGGATCCTTATGAGTTTCGGTGTTCCTCCACGTCTATGGAGGGAGCTGTCCGAGGTGGATGCAAGTAGTGATGAACTGGTCCTGGCTAACCTGAGGCTATGAGGGAACTGACCTGTGTCAGGACAAAACATGAGGAGAGGGTCTTCTGCACTTAATGCAGTGCCTTAACAATAGACAAGGCTTTAGTCTTACAGCTGTGGCCCCATTGTCCTTGTATGACCAACTATCAAAACAAATTCATACATTTGAATATTTAACATGACATTATAACATTTTACTGCCTCCAACATCATTTTGTTGTGAGCTAAAAGATGCTAATGTTAGCTTAAACTACGCTACTATCCATACCATCACCTGAGGCCACACGGGGGAGTGATGGACCATGGCTGGAGCTCGTACTGCCTTCATCTAAACTTTGGTGGGATGAACCGGAGGAAGCTGATGCTGGACCGTATGAGGTCGTTTCAATTAGTCCGCTCCTGTCCATAGGGGACACTCCCCAAGTTTGTCCACACTCTGAGGTGTCACCCACCTCCTCTGTGCTGCTACGAAACATTTAAAACCTCTCACAGGCAGGGTAACAGACGAATATTACCAAAATCATAAATACATCTTTAAATGTTAGTGAATATGTTGTAAAAACGCCTGTGTGGAGTCACCGGAAGTCACACTGGTAGCTAATGTAATGTAAACCGCCACCGAATGGACTGGACTTGCCTAATGTGCGCGCGATCATGTCACCTCTAGCATCTATCATCTGCGCATGTCCGTAACGTCACACTTTCAAGCAAAGTGATATATAAGGATTAATTGACCATTCATTTATCAATATGCAGAGGAACTAAGATTGCCCCCACTTGCTTTGGCTTTCTGTGCGTGTTCAAAGAGTATATTGGGACTATTAAACAAACAAACAAACAAACAAAAAAGAACCTCAAACTGTATAATGAACCTTTGGAGTAATAATAATGTAACCTATGTTTTTGCCCCTCCTATCATAATGCAATATTACTACATTTTATTAATCCCGTTTCTAATTTTCTCACTATTGTCATGCTATTGATCTGAGCACATCGGCATCATTTGTCTGTTTATGTCAATAAAGATTAAAAAAAACTTCATTCCTATAGTCTATATTAACTGACATATATTTATTGACAACTCCTTTGTCCATGTTGTATTTAAGATACCCCTTTTCCCTCAAGTAGGCAAGGCCACACACGGGAATGCAGTGTGAACCTTATTGCTCAAAGCCACAGCACAATTTTATTTTTCTAATCTTGAAGATCAAAAATAAAACAGTAGAAGGAAAAAGGATAAAATATATTTTAAGAGAAAAGTGTGGAGAAAAACTTTAATGGCTGCTTTAATATTGGTTCCCTGTATGACTTTGTTCAGGTCTTGGGAGCTTTTGAAACATGGGCACAGATTCTCATGGGAATCTTAAAAATGTAGTTTAAACTAATGTGATTTTAGCTTTCACCAATGCCTATAAGAGACCGAAAAATGAGGAATAGTTTTTTTATTTCACTATTTAATTCCATAGAAGTGAGCACAGTGTGGGTAAGAGTAATAAGAGTGACTATTCTGGCCGTTTCACTTCTGTCAGCATTACCTCATCAACTGTAGCTGACAATTACAATACGAAAAGGAAGTGAAATCTTACCAAGTGGGGTCCATGACCCATTGTGTATCAATTAAGGGGTCCCTGACTAGTAAAAAGTTTAGAACCACTGACCTAGAGAACTGGTTCCTAACCTGGGGGGGTTGCCAAACCTTCAGGTGAGGTTGTGAGGCCTTCTTGGATTTAGGGGATATGTGAGAATTTTTTATTTTTTCATAAATATACAGTAGGCCTATATCTCAGCATTTCATTAATAGCCTACCTGTGAAGAAAACTAAGCCAAATTAGTTTGTTATTATTAAAGTTTAGAATATTATTCAACACAGGCACTTAAAAAGAAATCTAACAGGATAAGGGCACAGTAAAGAGCTGAATGCAAGCTATGTAGAGCCTTCACTCTCTGCTAAACAGCCTTGTCCTGCATTAGAAAAGTATGCAGTTAAAAAGCAGAGGTTGTACAGCATTAGGAAGGAGAAAACACTGAACTTGTCGAAGCCTAGTATTCATGATTGTTAAAATATATATAATACATACGGAAAATGATATAAAAAGTTCCTAAAACTATCATGAAAACTCATTTCTGATGTAATAGTCACAGGAAATACTCATCACTCATTTTACACAAATTGTGTTAACTACCTGTGTTTATGTGACATTTTATCAGTTGTTCATGAATTGACAATATGATGTAACAACTACATTCATGAAGCAACCCTCAAATCACCGACAAAATTGTACCAAGTTACAAATTGCCATTTTTATGTTTTACACAAAACCCCTAATTAGATTTGTTCAATAGCTGCCAGTAGATCATCATTTTAGAAAGTACACTGTGTAATAAAGGTAACAGCTGTCCCACGGGTTAAGCAAAACATGACGTGGCAAGAAGAGGGAACTAACAAGAGTGAAGGGGAACCACAAAGCTTTGAATGAAAGAGGAAGCAGCTAGGAGATAAAGCACACAAAAACACAAAAACGTGTGTGGGAGCGTTTTGACAAATGGACTATAATGAGCATCAGTTTTCATTCTCAGTATCACAATTGTAGCTTGTGGCAACATCTGGGGTCAAGGTCATCATGAAAATAGTTGTGTGTATGTAAGTATGGAGGCCTGTATGACTGTTGACTTGACATCCCAGAGCAGCTGAAAGTATATTTCACGGAATTTATATTTGCATTTTTTCTATAATAATAATAATAATAATAATAATAATAATAATAATAATGATAATAATAATACTTTTTTTTAAGGTATGTAAAATTCTGTTCTATACTTACGCTTTTATTCTGGAAAAAAAATCACACCGGAAGTCCTGTTCTTCTTCCTGTCGCGGCCAATATGGCGGCCGACACAGATGAAGGTGCTTATTTTGTGAGAGAAATTGAGAAAAACGACGGGTCAACGCTAAAACTGAAGCAGTGCTACTTAGGAGACGTTGGCTGTGTTGTTTGGGATGCTGCTATCGTTCTGGCAAAATATTTAGAGACGAAACAATTTTACGATCCGTCCTCAGGAGTGAACGTGTGGGCTGGCAGCAGTGTTGTGGAGCTCGGAGCTGGGACTGGAGTAGTTGGTCTGATGGCAGCAACACTGGGGTGAGATAACCGCTTATTGTGTGTGTTTACGTTTCGTTTTAAAATATTAGTACATATGTAGCTGTTTAGTGACCTTTAGCTGCTTACTTCACCCTGCTTATATATCACAGAGCTCAAGTCACTGTGACAGACCTGGAAGAGTTGCAGACCCTCCTGAGGGTGAACATCCAGGAGAACCAGGCACTCATCACCAGTGGATCAATTACTGCCAAGGTACTGAAATGGTTTGTACTTACATTTCATCTTTTGTATTTCAATCATATATCCAAGCAGCACGTCCTACATTGCAAGCAAATCCTAACAGTTTGATTTCTACTCTCCTTAAAGGGGTGAAGATGTGTCTGACTTCCAGCCTCCCCCACATTATGTCCTTATGGCAGATTGCATCTACTATGAGCAGGTAATGTACTACAGTGGTTTTGTTGTTGTTGCAAAACAGAACAAGCACTGTATTTTGTCTTTGTGACTTATCTTTTTTTTCCCATGCAGTCCATTGCTCCACTGGTGGAGAGCTTGAAGCTGCTCTCTGGACCAGAGACCTGCATTATATGCTGCTATGAGCAACGCACAGAAGGCGTCAATCCAAAAGTGGAAAGGCGTTTTTTTGAGGTGAGTACTCAACCGTTGTGAACAGAACAGAAATTAAGATGCTGAGACATTTGACGTCATCCCTCAGTGAGTATTAACGTGGTGTTTTGTGTTATCTTCTAGTTGCTGCATCAAAGCTTTGACTGTGAGGAGATCCCTTTAGACAAGCAAGATCCAGAGTTTAGCAGTCCAGACATCCACATCCTGCACATCCGGAGAAAAGTCTGAGTTTGTTTGTGCGTACTGTAATCATTGTTCCGCCCTATTACCACAAGGAAATCAGATTCAAAGGTCAAGTGTGTAGGCTTTAATGTCATCTAGCAGTGAGGCTGTAGAACTGAAACTTCTCTGTGTGCCAAGTGTGGAGGAGAGATATGGTGGCCGACGAAAAAATGCAAATGGCCCTATCCAGAGCCAGTGTTTGGTTTGTGTGCTCTGGGCTAGAACAACATGGTGGACTCCATGGGAGAAGACCCGCTACATAACGATTTATTTATTTAATTAAGTACACACTAATGAAAACATAGTTATGAATATTATATGCAATTTCTACCACTAGATGCCCCTAAATCCTACAGACTGGACCTTTAAAATCTACACATCTAACATCTGCACTCTTTTATATTTTTAAAAGAAAAATATGTGTCTGATGTATCACTAAACATTGTGAGACAACATGAGTGATGGAGTAAAAAAGTGAAAAGAGAAGCCATTGTGAAATGATTTCTTCTTTACACTATACATCATGTTTTGATAATATCAGCAGTGTCATTGGTCTGTGCAATTATAGGCCTGCAGAGGTAGATGGCAGACATGTGCAAGCACAGACTTGACAGACTGTATCTTTAATAAAATGAATTGTAGACCAGGAAGGGACTGAACTGTCTCTCTGGTTCATTGGCGATCATTTGGATGTTTGAGGTTGAAGATTAGTCTTGCAAATGTTTGAGTTTTGTTTTTTTTTTTTTTAATGCAAAACACAGTAAAAGTCCAGAGTTTACAGTTCAGGAAACTGCAGGAGAGTACAAAAATGTGACCTACCACGTTATTGCTATAAAACCCTGCCCTTTTTTTCTGCTGTGCATGATTAAACATTTATTTTTATGATTATTGTGGGTTATTACATCAGGATTACATGCACATTCCCATGTTAGATTGAAATTGTTGACCTTCCTCCTGAAATGAGCACTTACTGACAGCCGTAAAGTGTTGTCTAAGTTGTTTTCACCTTTAAGGATTTTTTCTCATTTTCAATGATGTATGTAAATTCAGATGTTGCCTATTTGGAGCACTAGGGGGCAATAGTTGCTTCAATTCCCCAAAAAGCATTTTAACTATATGTAAATGTTTAGTCTGTGCGCTAAAACTGCAACTAGATTATAAATCTTAAGAGCCAAGATGGTTCTTAAAACTAAATATTAGCTTAAGATGTGAAGATGATGTTGTTGCTACATTATTAGAACTTGCAGCAAGAGAGGTGGGGAATAAATCATGACTACACTTCCTCAATCCATATGTTAATCTTTATCTAGTTTACCCAGTTTCTTTAAAACTGAGGCCATCATAGCATATACCAGCTCTCTTGAAAGCGTGTGCCCTCCATGCGAGGGGAATTCCACCCCAAGCCCCAGATTAGCTGGAAGATTATGGTTCTTTTTTGAGCAAAAACCATGAAGTACGCCCCGTACTCCCACAGGCATGCAGGGGCCCCTCACGTCCTTTCATGCTGCTCTCTGTTTACACAGTGGAGCTGTAGTGTAATAAGCAGGGTGGCCTCTGACGTTCAGACCAAATAAAAATGTTAATGCTGAAGTTGACGGGGTGGGGTTAACACTGAAGGGCCCATTAAATTCTCAAATCGCTTCATAGAAGAATGCAACAGGAGCCAGGTTTGATTCATGAGATGCTCTTTATGCTCCTAATATTTCTTTATAGGGATGTGTAAAGTTAACCTGCATGCATGAAATCAGCTGATGAAGTACGGCAGGAACATCTGTGATGGCATAGTGCCTCAGACCCACAAATATTCCTGAATTTGATTTGATTTCTTTATTTAAACAAAAACTGATAACATTTCATAATCCAACTTTGAGCAGAGGCTTTAGCTTCTTGTGTAGAGTTAATGCAACATTATGTACATATATACAACATTATGAACTGTTTGCTTATCTGAAAACACACATGTACATGAATGGACCTATCAGGCACCCAGGGCCCAAAGTGTCAGGGTCCCCGTAGCCTTCACCTTCACCTGCAAAATGCCTAGAGCTGCAACACTTAATCAGTTAGTTGTCAACTGTTGAATTAATTAATTAATTGCCAACTAATTTGATAATTGATTAATTGGTTTCAGAATTTGTGAAAGAGGTTTCTTTACTCCTCTATGGGTTGTGGACAAAACAGCACATTTTAGGATGTCATCTTGGGCTTTGGAAAACACAGGTCAACATTTTTTGTCATTTTCTGATATTTTATAGACCAAACAACTTATCCAATCCACAGATTTATCGTCAGTGAAAATAATTGTGTACTAATAATAATTGTTGCACTAAAAATGTCACTCAAATTAACCCATACCAACCAGGAAGAGCTTCCAAATGACCACTAAGAGATAAAAAGGGACTGCAAAAAGACATAAAATTACCAAAAAATGACACAAAATTACCTCAATTACACACAGAAGGATAACAAAGAGACACAAAACCACTTAAAGATGCAAAACAACAACAAAAAAACAGGAAAAACCACCACAAAATCTGTGTCTTGCTCCTATGTGGGAGAGGTGTTGAAGCCTTTTACATATCTGACCTCAGGAGCCTGTTATCTCATAATCCACCTATAAGTACAACCCTTCCTGTCCCAACAAATAGATTTCTTTATTACAACATCACATTAACCAATATCCCAACCGTGATTGTGAAAGGTTTGAAATGTGTGTGAAAGAAATAGGCGTGGTCGGGTTGAATCATAGTTAAACAATCTGATCCCTGAGTCTTGATATGTTTTATCACAAGAGCGACAGGGTGAGATTAATGGCCTTTTTTTTTCTTTTTACAATTACAGAAATTACTACAGCGGATCATTTAAGATAATCACTCCCTGTGGCCCCTCTCTGCCCTCTCGCTTCTTCCTGCAGCAGCTGGGCTGCTACAGTCTGAGTCACCCTTCTATTGAGGTCTCCTTTGGCTTTGACCAGGATATGTTCAGCTAATTAATTTGACTCGCAGCTGGTATTAAGTCCATGTCCCTCAGTGTGGCGGGACAGGACCCAGAGGGGTTATTGGGAAGATTAGAGTGGTAGAGGGGAGCTGTACTTTTCTTTGTCAACATTTCATCCTCCTGCCCACCCATACCAAAACTCTATCAGTTTGAATCTGTTTCCCACTCTCTCTGGTGTTGTCTCCTCCTTAAATGTTAACCAAAAATAATTAAAATAATGCAGTTATGGTCTTCTTGTGGTTGGCTAATTAGGCTAGCACTACAGGGGAATACAGGGAGGCTGAAAGCAAATGAGGACAGCCCACAGTGAAGCAGGGGTGTCTCTAATCTGTTATCATATACACATTACAGTCAGTGCCGGTGACCGTAAAAATTCATTACTGAACATGTGGCATACGTGCTGCATGCACCAAGACAGAATGGGGGCATTTTCTGCCAACAGATGGTGCTATTAGTAGAAATAACTCTTACCTGTGTGGGGAAACCTGCAGTAACAACAACACAGTTCATAAATAGCTGAACAGGCCTCATAGTGTGCTGCTGTAACACAGGCCGTGTATTAATTATGGCATGATGATGAAATTCATTGTGGCTGTTTTGTCTTTTTGTGTGTTGCTATTGTCTTTGAGATCCATGTGTAATTCAACCCATGGCCAGTCTGCACTTTCAACACATACAACATAGTGGAAAACATCTGCATGGCCTCCGCAATGCACGCGAATCCCCCCTGGTTCTTTAAAAACAAGAAAACATGAGGGAGCAGTGCAGCGCCCCTCCAATCCAGATGGGTGGAGGAAGAGTCTGACTCCGTGCAGCCTGTGTAGTGTGCACCACTCTGCTGCATCACAGCCAAGTGACACAGAAGATCCTTTGTGTCACCATCATCACGCTGCCTGGAGCCAAGAGACACTGTTCCAGAAAGGAAGACTCATTTTCTCGCTAACTATTAGGGAGTGGCTCAAGAATAGACACCAAACTGGGCTGATTAAAAATAGAAGAAGAAGGCTGCATAAGTGTGTGATCCCGCAAAGGTACCCGCCCCCTACTCTTCCCCCCTTTCCACACACACACAGATGAGATCACCTTTCTACTCTTTCACATGACAATCTGAGCCTGGTGAACTTTACAGCAGGCCTCGGCTACATTCCCAAATAGAGCATGTGATTAGTGTTTTGCAGCTCTCCGTCCCTATCTCTGGTAATGAGATGCAACAATGCTAATAATCTGTGGCACTCTTGTTCTGTGGATTTAAGAGCGAGAGTTGGTTCGGTGCCAGTGAGGCAAAGCCCAACGGGACAACTAGCTTATAGAAACACAATGCTGACTCAACCCCCACCTCCTTACCCCCACAACCCCCCCCTGCAGGGGAACAAGAGGAGGGTGGGGTGCTGTTAAGACAGCTGTGCTGCAGTTGAGAGGGGACACAAATCCAGTACTGTGAGAATATTGTGCACACTTGCCCCCTTCTTCTTCCAATCCTGTCAATACAGCAGCATACACACTAGTGACTGTCTATATCAGAATTCAAACAGCTGAACAGGCCGTGTCAGATTTTAAACTGTCATAATAAACTTTGTTTGTGACACAGGTTCAGTGTGGCTCTAACGTGGTATCAGTAAAAAATATAATGGCGTATTGATCCTTTCCTTGAAACACCACAGGTTTCTTGACTGCCTGTGACTGCTGTCCCTACGGCATTCTAGTGCAATGATGTATTTGTCATCATTAGGATGTGTAGCGGCCCAGCACCGAGGGGAGAATTGCAGAGGGGAGGGTGCAGCATGTGTGTGTGTAGCGTTTCCCTGAGTCATTACCTCTCAGTAGTCTGAATCTGGACTGTGTGAGTGTGAGCAGCAGCAGCAGCAGCAGCAGCACCTGACTTGCCTTAGATCTGAAATTTCCTCCCAAGTCCAAACTGTCTAATCCAGACGCAGTGTCACTCGAAAACACTGTCTGCTCTGTAATTAGAGCGATGGTGTCAGATATACAGATGTAGTCAGTCATGGAGTGTGACAGGATGGTGGCAAGCTGCTGAGGGAGGCCTTTGAGGTTGCTTAGCATGGATCTTCATCATCCTGTCAGTCAGTGTGTGGAGTGTGTGGAGGCTGTGAGTGAATACATGTGGCTGACTCAGGTCTTTGGGAATAAAATCACTCTGTTGTGTTTCTGTGAGTGTGGACGAGGTGATGTAAAGCCAAATGTTAGATGTCACGTGGCAAAGGTCAGTGCTCTGTGCGCTGTGTGAATAAGATCTCAAAAACATCCATTTGATTTGATTTTGCTCCAGAAACAGACGCACTTAGTCTCCTGTTCCTCGCAGCCAAGAGATGCAGGACCTCAAGCTGCAGCACCATCTATAATGCCTGCCCCCCCCTCCTCTCTTAACTGTAGCATTGCTTACATCTGAAGACAACACTCAGCTACAATCCTCTTAACTCTCTGTCTGTTACAGCTGGAAAAACATGTAGTCTAGGGACAAGCTGGTTCACACTCTCACACAGCTGTGTCAAACATCCCGCAATTCTCAAGAGGAACCATGTGGACAAATTTCAGGTTTTCACATAATGGAATATAAATAGAAGCCCCGAGGCTTCAAACATGTAATGGCACTTAGATTGGATGGTTTCTAAAGTGGAAAAACCAACGTGATTATACACCAGTGAGACTGTACCACCGTATGGTTAGCGGCTTCAATTATGTAGTTAATGCGTGTATGAGCACTTTTTCTATCCATTAAAAAACAAATTGGTTATGTCTCCAACACCTCATAGTCATTTTCTGGTTCTCTGAATTTATAATTTCACCACAGCAAGTAACCTTCAGTTGCAGATATGAATGGAATGTATTTTGGACCAGTGCCCAGAGTGCACCTTGGACTTCACAGT